TACATCTCATCTTATATGCTTAATAATCAACTCTAACATGCATACCTATTAAGAAAATGAATAAATCACAATTGGGTGTAAAAAATGATATGAAGAGAGTGTCTATTTGCGTGTTGTGAGCACTAATGAATATTAATCGTCTTGATCAATCATGTCAATCATCCTTTATTTATAAAAAATTTTTCTTATTTATAGATGATATGATAAAATATGATGATGCTACATTTTTGCTCATGCTTTAAAGAGTTTGTATTAAAGTATTTTTGATATTTATATATGTGAGTCAGTCGCCCAACGACTCTTTATCTCAACCGACTAAGCACTGAGTTGACAATATCAATTTGGTTTGTCGAGCTTGATCGATATTGGTTTATCGATTAATATGACCCGACTTTGGATCTTTGACCCCTAATTATGAGCCTTTGAGTGTCATTGGGATGACTGAATGTGTTAGAGATTCAAATCACCCATTGGATCAGCTCTCTTTTGGTGGTTGGCTCATATACTTTTTTTTTCCTTGTTTTTTGTTGAGTGGCTCGTTCTTTTATTCTCTTGTCGTTTTTAGCTCACCTCTTGATTTGGTCTGCTCTGCCCTTGTTGGATTGGCTTGAACAGCTTCACTCAGTCGAATAAATAGGTCTTGTGATCTTCTGTCAATGAACTCTCCTTCATCACAGTCTTCCCTTATGGACCGTTAGATCTTCTCTGGCTCAATGCCGACACATTTTTTATTACAATGATGATATTCCAATTAAATATTAAAGCTAATTATTTAACATATTGATTGGGCTAGTGTTGGGCTGTGGCCAACGATGAGCACCGGTAATTCTATCATTTACAGTGTATTTAGAAATTATATATGACAAACACATTCCAAAATACACTAATTTTGCACTACAAGATGAATTTTAAATTCATCAAAATTTCACACTATTTCTTTTTCATCCAAATAAAGTTTACACTACAAATACTTTAATTCGCCACAAATAAATTGATTCAAACAATATCTAAATATTATATTTGATTATAAAACATTAGAACTTACCAATTTTATGGATCGAAATAGACTGCCAATAACACATTTTAAAATTAATATATTATTTATTTTGTTTTCAATTAATGTACAAGCATGTTTAAACCCCTACAAATAACTATGATTTAGTGTTAAAGTGAATTTGATGTGATATATAAAAGAGAAACTTCTTTCAAAATAATAGTAGGTCATCCTCTATAAGAGACTCGAAGCAGAAAAATCCTCTCTAAGAATTGTAGTTGCAACACATAAAGGATTTTGGGAGTTGCACTGCACCGGTGCCAATTGAGACACTAAAACGATCCTAGAGACTCTGAGGCAATGCACCAATGCAGGAGGAGGCACAACAACAAGCCAAAGGAACTCAAGGGATTGCAACACTGAAGTAGAAGGAGCCACAACAACAATTCAAGGGACTTGAAGTGACATTGCAATATGAGGGAGGGGATATGTGCCTTCTCCCCTGCCTTCTCCCCTCCCTTCCAAACTTATTATAGGCAAAACAATGTCATGAAAATACTTAGAAAATTTCTGTAAATTGCTTCCCAACGATTGATTCACGCCCACCACATCATTGGTCCCGACCCACACCATCCAAAAGTGTGAGCTGTGATCCATGGGATTGTGATTCACAATAGATACAACGACAACAAAGTGTGTGATTCATGTGGCCTTTCTCAAATCGCTGACCGGACATGCTCTTCACCGTTCAATCTCATCATGGGACGCTTGCTCTGCCCGACCTAGTGGCCTGCTCAACCATCCATGATGCTTAACTCGACACAGCCCGACGACCTGCTCAATCACCCACGACGTCGTGACCTGGTTGTCTTGTGACGACTTGCGCCACATTTCTGACCCATGGCAACCCACACCATTTAACTCTAGCGCATTCAGTGATCGTCACCACCACTGCCAATCACCGTCCGCCATTGACTATCCCATAGTTTTTCATTTTTTAGATGTTTTTTACCATATTCTCATTATTTTGATTATTTATGGACAATATGAAATAAAACACTCAAAAATAGGGGACAAATGATGTGTTGTAATATAAATTTATTACTTGACATGAATCTCAATGCATTTCATACAAATGTCAATGCATTTAAGTAAATGACACTTCAGTTCAAATTAAAATTACATAGAGCTCCAATTTAAAAAAAAAAAAAAACTTATAATAGTCAAAGTGAACAACATGACAAGAAGAACCCAACGATACTAAAGTTGATTTATCATGTGTTGAAATCAAGCCATTAAACCTCATTTGTAGGATTGAAGTGGTTAGTTGGAGGGTAAAATGGACTCCAAATTTGACGTGCCTATAGTCAAATTGAGCGCTCAATAAGAGAGATCTAAGAGCTAAAGATCACATGTCGAGGTCATTAAGGAAGCTTGATCATCACAAAATATTTTATGATTAAGAGGAATCAATGTGGGTTGATTATGGTGGATATTCACCAAAAGATAAAAATGCTCCTACTTTAGGGGCTATTAAAAGACCTCTATTCACTTCGGGGAGAGGGAATAATGAGCCTTTTTTTTATTGTTGTTCCGGACTTAAGATCTAAATATAACTCCCAACCTTTGTAGTCATCGACCACCGTCGACCATCATTCATCAACCACCCATCGTTGGTACTCTATTGAGCGACAAAATCTCATGCACACAAAGCAACAAAATGTTTTAAATACTATGCAATAATGTACCCCAAATGTGGTGTATTAAAGTCCAGATGATAAATCTTGGTGACAATTACTCTTGAGTGTGTATTCATAATAAAACAAATATTTTTTTTTGTATGTTGTGTAGAGACAAATATTATATTTGATATATGTTAAGAATTATAATAGGAAATAATTTATTCCTATATAAAGTTATGAGGAATAAATTATTTTCTTAGAATAAGGAGATATTTCCTTTCCTATTATATATTTATTTCCTTAGATTAGGAATTATTTGTTTTCATATTTTATGTTATTTCATATATCTTCGAATAATTAATATGAATTAATTATTAGAGATATCAGGTGATATATCTTTCCTTTCATATCGTTTTCTTTTTATTGTTTTTCCTATTACATAATTCTTGTAAGTGTTATTTATTCCCTCGTTCATATCAATGAAACAATAAATATTATTCCACAGTAAAAAAAAGTATTCCACATTATTTTGAATTTCAACATGGTATTAGAGCAAGGTTTCGTACCATATCCACCGATTCTCCTTTGAAAATTGTTGGACTCCCTTCCTGCCATCCTTTATGCAGGAGGGGAGGGGCACTTATCTTGATATTTAAAACAAAGACTTTTTCTTCACTACTCAAACCAACTTGGTCTCGTGCTCGTAAGCAAGGGCTCCGGCAAGGGCGGGACCAACGATGCTGCAACTCCCCTCATCGTCTCACTGTTATCGATCGGACAATGCTGACAAAATCCATCGCCAGCCCTTCCTCCCCTTCCTCCTGCAGTATTTTTTTTCTTCCCTACCAAAGTGTCGGGGGGAGCTGCGTTTCCAGCCGGTCATTTCTCCAGCTTTCTCTGCCAAAGCGTCAAGGGAAGCTGTGTTTCCAACTGGTTATTTCTTCTGCAGTATTTTTTTCTTCCCTGACCCAAGCGTCAGTAGGAGCTCTGTTTCCAGCTTCCCTTTCTTGTGTTGTTTTCTTTGTTGTCTCTTTCCATGCAAAACTTAAAATTCAGTCAAGCTTGAATCCAACAAATTCAACAAATCCTGAATCTCTCTTCTATGCCGAAATATATGGCAGACAAAACCCAAAATTCAACTAAGTCTGAATCCATCAAATTCAGCCAAGTCTGAATCTCTCTTCTACGTCGAAACATATGACAGACAAAACTCAAAATTCATGTCAAATCTAAATCTAGCAAATTCGATAATCCAAACGACCAATTTTTCTTGATTACTCAGCAAGTTAGAAATTATTAACATACATTCCAAACTTGAGAGGGTGTTAAGAATTATAATAGCAAATAATTTATTCTTATAGAAAGTTATGAAGAATAAATTAGTTTCTTAGAATAAGGAGATATTTCCTTTCCTATTTTTTATTTATTTCCTTAGATTAGGAATTATTTGTTTTCATATTTTATGTTATTTCATATATCTTCTAATAAATAATATGAATTAATTATTGGAGATATCAGGTGATATATATTTCCTTTCATATAGTTTCCTTTTTATTATTTTTCCTATTACAGAATTTTTGTAAGAGTTATTTATTCCTTCGTTCATATCACTGAAACAATAAATACTATTTCACAAAAAAAAAAAGTATTCCACAATATTCCGCATTATTTTGAATTTCAACAATATAACTTTGCAATTATTTTTTATTTGCATGATAGTGGTCTATTTTTTTTATTTATAGACTTATACTGGATATTTAAAATTGGGTTCGACCCTGTGATTTTTTCTATTACGAGGGCTTTCAAGTAAAATGTCTAGTTTTCTTCTTCTCTTTTTATATGTGTGTGCTAAATTTTTGTACAAGACTAAAATATTTGATAATCTCTCTATCACCATGAATCATATGGCAAGTGACATACATTAGACATTAAACATGAAAATAAATAAAATTTATGTGTTATGTTTAAATGCCCATAAAAATATAAATCATAATATTCTAATACAAATAAGACAATATATACATATTTTTTATTTTATATCATAAAAAGGGATTCATAGAAAAATGTTAATTTAACATACAATTTTGCAAATATAATTCTAATTAAAGGCGACTTTTTCTTAAATATAGTATTATTTTTTGAATAAAAAAGAAAATTGGAGAGAGAGAGAGAGAGGAGGATTAAAGTCCTTTTGCGATTAATAGTTTCTATGCATATAGATCATCACCTTATCATTCAGTTTGATCAAAGTTTAATGCACATATAATTTAAAAAATAATTTAGTATTAAAGAGAAATAGATTTTTTATTACTTATTTCGCCGTCAATCGCTCGCTCACTTTTTAAGAGGAGAGGGAGAGGAGAAGGAGGAGGAGATCATTCGCGAGGAGAAGACGAGATTGTTGAGTTGCGAGAAACTCCTGACGGCGTGGCGTCTTCTTTCTCCATCCTTCTCTCTTTTTATCCCTAATTCCTGTTAGCAAGCGTTTTTCAAGGTATGGTTTTTAACCTTTTACTCTTTGCTTTATTCCCCGGTGATAAGATCCGGGATCTGTGAGATTTTTTCTGAAGGGCATGGGATTGGAATTCATTCGGATATGTTTCTTTTTTAGCTCCGTATGATTCTATCTTACTTTGATTTCTTCTGGGTTTGCTTGTTCTGGGTGTCATTTCTAGTTTCCCGTTTACAATCTCAGCATTTCTTTTGGGCTTTTATGACTGCCTTGGGAATTGTTTTGTAGCGCATTTAGTTTTGGTCTGAAAGTTTTGGAAATTTGGGTTTATGTGTTAGGTTGATCCAACTGTTCTTTTCTTTTTTGGCTGGCTTTGTTTTGTTTTTTTTTTTCTAGGGTTTTGAGGATTGGTTGGTTGGGCTTTTGGTCTGCTGTGATTCAATGGTTATGGATCGACGAGTGCACGAGCTATCTGGTGTGGATGGATTGAGCTGTGAAGATTTCTTCTCCCATCAGAACCCCATGGACAGTAGGGATTTCAGGTTTAACTACACCCAACAGTCGTCCATGGATGGTAGCAGCTTGCATAGTTCTATGTTCGATGCTTCACATATTTGTCCTGCTCAGAATAACCTTAATGAACACAAATTTGGCGTTGCTGAGCCCAACATAAATCAAAGCAACCATGCCAGTCACCTGCTCTCAGGCTCAGTATCAGTTTCTGATGGGAACCCTACCTCCTCCTCAAGCAGAAGCCATGAGGGTGATTACCCTGAAGACTCTGAGATCTTCTCCGATATTGTCCTGAGCTATATAAGCAGGATTCTGATGGAGGAGGATGTGGACGAGAAGATAAATCTCTTTAATCAGGAGACTTCTGCTCTACAAGCTACAGAGAAACCTTTCTATGACATCCTTGGCCAGCAATATCCACCGCCATCACTGGTTAAGCCGTTTTTGCATGAAGATAACAGATTAGAGAGTCCGAAGGAAACTAGCTCCAGTTATGGTGTTTTGAGCGGGGATAGCTGTAGTAGCGGGGTTGTTGATCCAAGCTGGATTCAGGATTCTTCAGAGATGAACCAGTTCACATTCAGCTCATCCAGTGTAGGAAGTGTTGATCCATTGGATTTTCCTAACCCGTTGATTGAAAGTCAGCCTGCTTGGCAATTTAAGAAAGGTATGGAGGAGGCACAAAAATTTCTTCCTAGTGAAAGCAAATTGATCATTGATCTTAATATAAAAAAATTATCTTTGAATAATGATTTGAAAGAAAAAAGCATCGCATTTGATACCGAGTATAGAGTTGAGAAAGAACCACCAACCTCATTGATTGGATCTCGGGGAAGGAAGAAACCACAAAATGAGGATTTGGATTTGCAGGAAGGTAGAAACATTAAACAGTCGGCCAAGTCCTCTGATGATGTTGTCCGGTCTGAGGCATTTGATAAGGTCTTACTTTGCCAGAATATGAAATCATGCCAAGAGAAGAAGACTAATGATCGCCATGTGACAACGCAAAATGGAGCTTATAAAAGCTCTCATAATGGTCGAAAAGGTCGAAGCAAGAGGCAACAAAAGAAGGATGTGGTTGATCTGAGAACCCTGCTTATCCACTGTGCTCAAGCTGTGGCTGCTGATGACCGCCGCAATGCCAATGAGTTACTAAGGCAGATCAGACAGTATTCATCTCCTTTCGGTGATGGAACACAGAGATTGGCCCATTGCTTTGCAGATGGGCTCGAGGCTCGGCTGGCTGGCACCGGAAGTCAAATTTATCACACCCTTGTTGCAAAACGAACGACCGCCACAGATGTTTTGAAGGCCTACCAGCTTTATCTTTCAGCTTGCCCATTCAAAAAGATATCACATTTCTTCTCCAATCAAACCATACTGAATGTGTCTGATAAGGCAACAAGGGTTCACATCATAGATTTTGGTATTTACTTTGGCTTCCAATGGCCTTGCCTTATTCAGCGCCTTTCATCGAGGACTGGCGGTCCGCCAAAGCTTCGAATCACCGGTATTGACGTGCCTCAGCCCGGTTTTCGCCCTACAGAGCGAATCGAGGAGACTGGCAAAAGGCTGGCTGATTATGCTAAGAGCTTTAATGTTCCATTCGAGTACAATGCCATTGCGTCCAAATGGGAAACAATACATGTTGAAGATTTGAAGATCAACAAAGACGAGGTGCTTATCGTGAATTGCTTATATCGGTTCAGGAACCTGGTGGACGAAACTGTGGTCGTTGATAGTCCTCGGAATAAGGTCTTGAGCATAATCAGGAAAGTGAATCCAGATGTGTTTATTCATGGAATTGTTAACGGCGCATATAGTGCTCCTTTTTTTGTCACGCGGTTTAGGGAAGCTCTATTCCACTTCTCGTCTTTGTTCGACATGCTGGAAACAACGGTGCCGCGAGATGATGCACAGCGAATGCTGATCGAGAGGGACCTATTTGGGCGAGAGGCTCTTAACGTCATATCGTGCGAAGGTTCAGAGAGGGTCGAGAGGCCGGAGACCTACAAGCAATGGCAGGTGAGGAATCTGAGGGCTGGGTTTACTCAACTTCCACTCGATGCGGAGATCATGAAGAGGGCTAAGGACAAGGTACAAGGTTGTTATCACAGGGATTTCGTCATTGATCAGGATAGCAGATGGCTGCTCCAGGGTTGGAAAGGGCGCATTATATATGCAATATCCACATGGAAACCCAGTGAAAAGTGGTAGCTTTTGTTTTATTACTGAATCTGAGAGTTTAAACAATTGTTAACCATTGCAGATTATTGTGCAGGCCATGTGACTTTCGCTTGTTTTTCACATGCAAATTACGATGTATGCAGTTTTAACTTTAGCCGCTTTAACTTTTGATCTGTTTTGTAATATCATATTATTAATATATGTTAGCTGTTTAGTTCTACTGCCAAAGTAATTAGCTTAAAAAGAAGGATCAAAATCATCATTGATCTTTCTGGATAATATTTGTATGGTTTTTTGAAAATTAAATGAAACCTTTTGTTTTGAGTGATTTAGATACATAGCACTCAAATTTTCAATTATTACATATTTCACCCTCAAAATTCATTATTTACATTTATAGCACCCAACAATTATATTAAACTCTGCAAAAGCACCTATCCATTAAAAATAATAACTCTGTTATGTTCCAGCTTAGATCGCATGATTCCAGCGTCGCACCCCTTCCCATCTCTTTGCTACTTTCTTCTCACTGCCTCGCTGTAAGAGAACTTTATTGAGAGCAAAGTTAATATACTTTTTAGCCAAAAACTTATTTCTAAGTGCTACTGTAAGCACAAAATCAGCTCTGATAGAAGATTAAACAGTTGTAGCCCTGGGACGTTGATATAATGTTCAAGAAATCATAGCCTGACACGGAATTAGAATTAAAGAAGGAAAAGAAATGGTGGCCATCAAACTGAAATCGATAAATGGATCTCTACGATGGCAAACAACTAGGGCCGATGAGCCCAGCAATGGTGGCTGCGTTGAGTTCTTCTGACAGCAATGGGGAGATCACCCAGGTGGACCTAACGAAAGTGTTGTTGAGATTTTCTTAACCCCGTTTACAGAGTGCTAAAAATTTGGCGTGAAAAATGAAATATAGTTTTGTTTGCCATGTATGTAAATTCCCCTATTTTGTTTTCATTTTTTTTTTTCTTGTTGTGGCTGATCATGTTGTACTCTGAAACACTGATGCAGGTTAGGTTTTTAATGGGCCTGACAATTTGTGGAAGGAAGATGGTCTTTCAAAATCTGAATTGAGATGATGAAGTTCTTAGAAGTGGAGGTGGAGGTGAAGTAATATGAGACGAGGTATTTTATATTTGTTGGTCTGTTAGGTTCTGATATGTATCAAGTATGATGACAAAAATGAAATTGCATACATAGCACCGATTTCTTATACATTTACTTATCTCACACTCAAATTTTGATTTTTACTCCTAAAGTATATTTTTTTATGTATGAAAATATGGAAATAGTGTAATCCACTTTTTTATACATAGGTTAGGGTGTAAAAATCAAAGTTTGGGAGTGAGATAAGTAAATGCATAAGATTAGGGTGCTGTGTATTTTAATTTCCAATATATATATATATAGATATTACTTTTTTGTGCTTATTGTTTGTATTGGCCTTGTCATAATGAGCTAAGAAAAGTCACATGCTTCTGCTTTATGTCGCCAATTATATGGTGGTCGGTGCTCGTCTTTCATGCGTTATTCAGTGTGTGTGAATCACATTTGTGCTGAATAATTATTTTTTTCTTTAATTTCAGTTATATTTATATGTATGTGTATGTATAGATTGTCCTTTGTGGTGTCTTTGTGTGAAGCAAGAAAGGGTTCATTTGGTTCCTTTGTTTTAAATAATTACAGCTGTTTTATTTATTTATTTATTTACTTTTGTTGAAGAGAGTTGTTTTGTTTCTTTAAATAAAACAGCTTTTTTGGCAGCTTTTTTCATCGTTCACTATAATTAGAATTTAATTAAATAACTTGTTGGTAACGGTTGTTGAGCTGATGATTATAGGGCCCTCTCTCATAGGAAATTATTAGCTGAGCCATGGACGTATCACGTATGTTCTTTTATTCTGTCATGTATATATTTTTTCTATTTCAATATAATATAGATAAAATGGGAATGATTTGTACTAGTAAAATTTTAGGTTGAGAACGAAGTAATATCAATTGGGCTTAGCTTTAATATATATATATATATATATATAGAATTTGAATTTGGTGCTTTCTAAAAAGTTGTTTCGAAGTCTAATGATTGTATTTAAATTCAATTGTTCATGTGGTTTTCATGTTTTTCGTCTGTCATTTATAATTGTTGACCAAAGTTTAAGAATGAGTGTGACTCATAAGGAGTATGTAATTGAACGGTGTCGCCATTTAATCAAATAGACAGTTGATGATGTTGATTTATTTATTTTTTTTATTTTTTGAGCTGATATAAAGAGAGAGATATATATATATCTGGGTGGGGGGTGTTAAGGGTAACTCGCCTTATTAGAGCCGAAGAAGCTTTTAAGCCACATATTCTTAATGTGGTTGAGGGCGTTGTAATTTCAAATTGCATATATTGCTCTTTTGAGCTCCAAATAAAAAAAAAATGTTGATGAAGGCAAGTTTATATTTTTAAATTCTATATTCATAAAAAAATAAGAAGTCAATTATTAGGATATTTTGTCAATGGATGGTCAGAGGGTAATCATCTTATATGAATAATGTTAGTTAAAAAAAGGAGGAAAGATCTTCATAATTACCAACAAAGTTCCATATATTTTTACTTATATAGAACTTAAATTTCAACTTTATATATATGCTAATATGTAAAAAGGTATATTTTATATTTTAAAAGTTAAAATAATTGTACTTTTATGTGAAATGAAAATTTTTTGAGGGTAATATTGATGCATTCAATGTAAATACATAGGATGCGAGTGTTATGTATGTAAATGTCTTTTATGAAATAGAATAAAATGAATAGATGCAGGAGTTTTTGTAATGTAAATTCCAAAAAAGTGCAAAATAATTGAAACTAGTAGGCTTTAATTATCGGAGGGGGCCTGTATTGTCAATATTGGATAAGGCTCCGCTATACTGTTATTAAAACATTTAAATTGCTGTGAATATCCTATGAGATAACTACGTCAAGAATTCGATAGAATGGTCTTAAATGATGATTGAGACGATTAAAATAATATATTTTTTTTCTCATACATAAATTTATCATTTTTATATTACTAATAAAAATATGTTATTAAAACTACTTGCAAAAAGCTGAATATAAGTAATTTTCTTAATAGGAAATGTACTCTAATTAACTGCACTAATAAATTGCATGGATAATATTGAGCTAAACTTAATACGCCCATATATAATTTCCTTCCACGGCTAAATAAAATAATTATAGATAATTTACACTCATAAATTTTATATTTAAAATTACTCAAAATAAATACGGCAATATATGATTGGACAGATCAGCGGCGCCTAACTATCTATTTTTTTTCCTGCACATGCATGAATAATGAATTAATATTTAATTTGAGGCGGTTAAGTGTACTCACTAGTTCATTTCCCCTTCTTAACAATTCAATTTCTTGCGCATAAATTTATGGTAATTTAATTAATATTTTTGTTTTCATGCTCATAATAATTTCTGTGTCTTTATCTATCTATCTATATACAAGTAGCTGATCGATATTCTTTAACAGTAAAACGATCAGCTGAACATAAGAGTTAAGGCGGGCAAAGCCGTACCTTAATCTAATGCTGGAAAAATATTGCATCAGATTTTCTAACGTAGAACTACGTTCAGAACAACTGATATGCGGGATAGGGCTGGCAAAACTGCTCGTTGTTCGCGAACAGTTCAACTAATTAAGAAGCTCGTGTTCGGCTCGTTAATTTTGTTCAATAAGTTAACGAGCCGAACACGAACAAAGATGTGTTCGTTCGTGTTCGGCTCGTTTTGGCTCTAAATACTACTCATCAAGTTTATATATATATATATATATATATATATATATATACTAAGTAGTATTTTAAAAAAATCTGATTGACTACAAGACTACAAAGATTTATAACCAAATTAAATTATTGATTAAGAAAATAGAATAAAAATTATTAAATTAGATTGAAATGATGTTTTAATATAAATGATAATTTTTAAATCTTACTCAAACTCTAATCGTCTTATGACTACGTGATTAGGTCTGTTAAAAGGCCTCTTTGTTCGTGAACAGCTCGTGTTCGGCTCGTTAAGCAAACAAGCCGAACACGAACACATATTTTGAGCTCGAAATATAAACGAGCTGAACATAAGCTTTGGCTCATTTACACCCCTAATGCGGGAGGTAACGAAAAAATAAAGAAAAATCATTTTAACTCAGGAAAATATTCCTCCCATGTTATTCCGTATTATTTATGTGTTATTATTATAGTATTCATATGTTATTGTGTTATGTAAATATTTCCGGTGTTATAATAACACAATAATACATTAATATCAACACAATAATATCTGAATAATGTAGAATAACACAGAATGAATATATTCTCTTGTGTTACCCGACTAGATCACAGGAAAGCATGCACATTTGCTTAAAATCACGTATCTACATATGAGTGGGAGTCCTGATATAATATTTCTCCTCGAATGCTTATGTTTTTCAAACAAAACAATCAACCTTGTTTGTGCTTTATTGGGAAGTAAAAACATTTAGTATGATGAATAATGAAAATAGATACCACGCAATATTTACATATCCATACTCATTTTTGCAAATATAACACTTTAGCATCAAAGACCAAAGGACAACAAGATATACTTCACTTTTAAAGAATAACTTGGTGATATTTTTGATATTTTAAAGATTATGAAAATATAGATATCAGATTTGGAGAATTCCGCATGTACTTAACAAATTCTTATGTATTTACATCTCTTATATGTTCCGTTAAACTAAGCAATAAGAATCAAAACAGAAAAAAAAAGAGAGTTAAAAACAAAATTAGGATCCAATGAGTATCCCACAGCATTAGCTCACTTGCTTGTCCTTGCTTCAGTACACTGCAGTATGCAGTTTTTTTTATAGCAATCAAATCTAAAAACTGCTGCGAATTTCCAAATGTTCCTGACTGAAGTAAAATAACTAAAATAAACCAATTAATTAAGTAACAGTTCTTTCCCAATTTGGAGCAAAATACCGCAGAATTCTTGAGAACAAAACATCTCTTAACATTAAACCTTTCAGAAAGCTTTTTGATGAAAACTACAAAGCTGGAAAGAGAAAAAAACAATCAAAATCTTGCAGTATTGGAGAATTTATGCCGAAGCTCCAATACAATTAAAACAATCAAAGAGTATAATAAACTTAATTGGACTAAAAAATGACTTTATCTGCTTTAATTTTACACTAAAATGGATTGAAGTACAGCAAAAAGAACCTGCAGGAGTTAAACTAGCAGCATCTGCAGAGTTCAGTATCCACACTCTCATGATCTTTTCTTCTGAGCTTTGGGCGGTCTTAGCAAGTTCCAGTCCAACTTTTCTCGCTTTTTCTGCTTATTAGAACTGTTTGAGTTCTGTGGAGAAGATTTTCCATTAGCATCCTTATTTCCAGTATTCTGGAATTTGCCAGGCGCTGATATTTCCATATCTGCCACCGGCTGTTTTCTTTTGAGTTCTGGATCTGAAATATCCTCTTGACTGCCACCTTTTAGCTCAGATCTAATCACATAAACAACTAATTTAACAGTACTGCTAATTGAGTGAGAGAATGCTTGATCGTCTCAATTAAAACAACATTTCATTCAGAGAATTTAATTTTAGAACTTTTGATTGGAAGACAAATCTCTCAACCACTAGGCCAAGGAGGCATGCATGCCAAACACATTTTGTTTCAATAAAAAAATTAGAAAGAAAAGGGCAGTAAACCCCACCTATAAGAAATATTATCATTTGCCATAGACGTATTCGTAGCTTGGCTTTGATGGATGGTTGTAGCCTCTTCGTTCAATTTCTACAAAGAAGCTTACTTAAAGGGAGTAGAGAATAAAGGAGAGACAATCATACGCATCAACCAACTTCTGTGACTCACATCAATTGAGGGATTAAAGCTCTGAAATGACATTCGGCCTCTTAATGCTCCGGGGTGAGGATCCCCTTCTAATATCACTATGCTGGATAATAATTATTCAGAAAGCAACATTGCTTAGAAACCCAAAACATGGGGAGAATCAAATTTCAGTAGTTGATGCAGAAAAAAAAAAAAAAAACTTGAATTGCAGCAGCTCAAAGTCATAAACAAAACTAGGTTGCAAAAGATCTATCTCAAGAGTATATGAAACAAATGCAAAATTTTTGGCATTGGTGAGACAAGAGAATAAAAAGCTATAGGTTTCAATGAGCTAAGGCGTGCTAAGAACGAAGATAATAGTACTCGGTAAAGGAAAATTGCCATAATGACATCAAGGAAAAAAGCAAATGTAATTTGAGAAGTTATTAAAAAAAATGATAAAGAAATGTTCTTCAAGTATATTATAATATTTACAATAGATTTGAGGGTGTATTTATGACAATTTTTAGTTGCTTTAATTTATGAAATGATGCCCATTATTTTTTATGGTCATTTGACTGCCAGTTTTCTAACTAATTGACAGAAAATTGTGCAGAGCGAACATAAATTTCATGATGCGAGTTAGAAAATTGTTGACCATGGGTTTGACATCTTTACGCTCACAATTCTTTAGAAATTAGCCAGTTATACATAATTGCAAAATAAAATTCCAGCGAGTAAGAACATTCTCCATTTTGCTAATCCAAGCTCTGGTTGTTGCCTGAAAGTGTACTTTCAGTAATACAGATAACTTTTTTGTGATACGAGTTAGAACATAAATTTCATGACGCGAGTTAGAACATAAATTTCATGATGCATCTTCTTTCCTAAGGCATGGAATTTGATATATGCATAAAAGTGATACTTTCAGCAATGCTGATAACTTCTTTGTGAAACATTTCGACAATACATCTGTAATGTGATTACGACTGTGCGTTACTATAGGTAAAATTCTATGATTTACCTTTGCTAGATGTAATTTGCAACAATTGAGCAAGCTGTTTTTTTTTTTTTTTAATTATTTATCAGTAGGGACCATTGATTCTATAGATGTTTATGGAATTTAAATGAAAATAGTTGCATTTCAATCTTTTAAGCATCAGTCACATTTTCGCGGCTGCTATCCAAACAAAATATAGTTTTTTGGCCTATAGACAAAACCTAGAGAGTCGGGCTTTCCAAATAATTCAGCAACTTTAGCTACATCTGTCACTAAACTCAGCTTACCCCACAACAACTTCACAATTAACTTTATTAACAATAAGTACAGCCCAAAAAGAACCCTAAGTTCACTGCAAAAAAGGTGCATTACGTTCAAAATTTAGGTCCAAACAAGAAACACATCGTGATATGAAGGGTTAATTGGAGAAAATGGAGTTGTATGGTTAAGAATCTTTCCGATGAAATCACAAGGACCAAAATAATCCCAAATGATCTAAAAAATAATATTTTGGTGCAAGTAAAACAAAAACAATGCTCGCAAACGTAACAACTAATAAGAAAATGAATAATATAATCAGATAATTAAATTTAATGGATGAAATTGGTACAAAGGCTAGAAACATTGTGCTGGTATATGGTAACCAATTTGTGTTTACAAAGGCTACTTCAGTGCTAAGACAATTAAAATAAAAAAGAGGGCTTTAGGAAACTTGGCCCAACATTCTTTGCTCTATCACCATAAATATAAATAAGGTTGACCCTATTTCTAATGAAAATAATGTGACTTCTTCAATGAACCCAAAATGCAATTTTATAAAGGATTACATTGCGCTTCCTGTCGAAGAATATCCTAGCTCTAATATAATCCAATTTGGAATTGTATCTTTCCAACTTATACCCGCATCCATCCTAACTTCATAGTTTTGCTGCACTAATTGTTAATGTAACTTTGTTGCCAATTTTATTTCTGTTAAAAATGATCACTGTTATCACAAAATACCACAAAAGAAAAACTCAATTTTGATTTTACAAACCATATACTCATTTAAATCATCATTCGACTAACCAAGAGTATCTTATTTTCCTAGTTTTTCTAACTTCATAAAAAATAATCTCACCTAATATTAACATCTCATAAATGAACACATAAAAGAAAACCCATGACCAAAACATTAAAAAGAAAAAAAAAATTATGGATCCAATTATTGAACATCAAGAAGACAAACTTTTTGTGTAGTCTTTATCAAAAGAACATAAATTAGACTACATTCGTAGTTAAAGGACGTTTGATTCTATAAACTTAAAAAATAACATTTGTGAATAAAATCTGCTTAGTTTGGGTAGGTGATATGCCAATGTTAAATAAGCTATTCAAATATTCAATCTATATATCAGAATTATGTTTAGTGACATGAGTGCAAACTATTTAATATGAATGACAAAAGAAATAAATGGTTTGCCAAAACAAGATGCTTAGAATATATAGGTTTAATCACCATTAAAAACTAGCCATAATCAAGGAAGCAAGGCAGGAATAAGAATAAAATATAGCGACATTTACATCAATACCACTCAATTCCTATGTATTTTCATATTTACATGCATACCACTCAAATCTTTAACACCAAATTAAAATACCACCATTACTATCTTTTAAAACTGAAATACATCTTTTCATGCATAGGTTTATGACACCAAGGTGTTATAGATGTAGATATCAATCTCTGGGTGTTAGACATGTAAATACATAAGAAATGTGTGGTATGTATGTAAATTACAGCAATAATCATTAAAATGACACAGCATAATCTGATAAAGCTAATCAAAATAAGCGAGCAAGAAAACATCAAGTGAATGAATTGCAGTAGCTAATATGGAAAATGAGCTTGAATTCCATGTAACCATAAGAAAAATATCCAATGAGCTGCGAGCAAAAATGGAATCAATTAGCTGCAATTATATATAAAAAAGCGCTGTTTTTTTTTAAGGATCAAGAATGTGCGATCACTGTACAGACATATCCCTTTGTTCTATTTCTATGCTAGACTATAAAAAAAACAACATGACTCATGAAAAAAACAGAATAAATAGTTTGCCAGTCACATCAAGTTCATTAAATTACTTAGATCAAGGCAAAAATATTTACAAAGATAAGCCCTAATTATAAGGTCACAATGTGACTACCCAAATGTTTCTGTTAATCCAAGCAAAAACATTGTTTTATGGTGTCAAAGAGTGGGTGGATAAAAAGAAACCCTTCGGTCAGTTCGTGATGATGTATCCCTGGAATTACACGACCAGAGTATGCCATCACAAGCAACACGAAAATAAGAAATTATAATAAGGAACTCAAAAAGACAACTTTTACATACATAATACAATCATGTAATCCTACAAAAACCAATCTACCAACCCTTGTCCATCCCTAATTAACAAATTCACACTACTCCAGTCCCATCTGAAACAAACCAGCCGCTCCAATTACTAGCAACAGAGGAAACCCTAAGGAGAAAGCATTACCATAAAAAACCCTACCATCTTCTTCGGGCGGACGAAGCAGCGTTGGCGGTAGAAAATACGTTTCCAATGGGCTCCGGATTTTCCTTCTCTTCATTGATCTTTTCCTCCCTCGGCGCTGCCCTCTGCATAAACTGGAGCAACACAAATACTCTATATTTAACGCAGTCGTGGATAGAGGAAGAAAAGATGCTCAATGAGAGCGAGAAAGAATAACTTAAAGATCTTGCCTTCAAATTTTTGAGAGTATTTGAGAGTTCGCGCTTCGCCATGTTTGGCTTCGATTGCAGAGTGAGGAGAAAGAGCGAGCAACGAGGGCGGAGTAGGCGGAGTAGGGCTTGCACCTGTGGAAGAAACAAACCATTCCTGTTTTGCTTTATTCAGTTTTATACCGATTGTTTATTTATTTATTTAAGACTCAAATTCTAGGCTCAATTTATGAATATCCAAAATTGATTAAATATTTATAAAAATCAAATCATCCTAAACAAAGAAAATTAAAAAAAAAATTCTTGGTAATTCCATCTTTTTAGAATATGTGCTGTTTGGATAAGGAGATGCATATCGTTAATATTATATTCTGCTTCTTACATGCTAAAAATTTCATGAAAATAATCTATGAAAATTTTGAAAAGGTGAAAAATCATAAATCATAGCCAAATTAGACTTATATTACCGTTAGAAATTAAGGATTATAAATAATTGTTTTATCATAATTAGAGATGTAATTAAAACTATGCAATAAGCTTTAATCAAAGAGGATGTCTACTATATGGCTATAAGCAGTTAATGAGGTGTATGATTAATCTAATAAATTTTATCATTTTTTAATATATAATTTTTAACTATAAGTAATTTAAACCAGCCTTAAGGAAAATAGACTTGTCAATATTGATGCGACACACCTCAATAGCCCCATATGTAGAACTCCGCGCAATAATGACTTAACAAAAATATTAAGGCCATTATGAACATAAATTTCCCCTATAATTATTGAAAAATTAAAATAATTTTAATTAAAAAGGCATTAATTAAATAAATATTACGGTAAATAAACATTAAGAGGAAAGACAATGCCTAGCTATAGTCTTTGTGGTCAATTGAAACTACTATAGATATATACATATATATGTATGTGACCAACTAACAATATTGTAGTCATAAACTACGGTTTATGTAACCAATTAAGAATATTGCAGTCACCAACTACTACCTATGTAATTAACTACTATTGATACAACTTCCAATAAGACCTTTGTGGCAAACTAATGATATTGTTGTTATGAACTACGACCTTAGGGGTCAGCTGATGAATTGTAGCTTCTAATTAATGCGACCTTTATGACCAGCTATTTCTTGTGCAAATCAACCACGACTTTTGTGGCTGATTACTACTATTACAACTTTCAATCAAAACTAGTTTTTATGGCTAACTACTGCTATTACAACTATCAAATAAGATACTCGTGACCAACTATTATTGTTTCAACATCCAACTACGACCAATATGACCAACTTGCAATATTGTAGTCACAAAATATGACATATGCGACCAACTATTATTAGTACAGCTCCCAACTATGACTTATGTGGCTAACTACTTCTAATACAGCCACTGTCTACAACTTTTATGACCAACAATTGGCCTGTGTAGCAATTAACTAGGACATTTGTGAGCAACTATTAATATTATAACCACAAACTATATTTGTTGTAGCTCAATTACGACTATTATAACTAAATTACTATTGTACACATGTGATTATCACTTGTGTAATTCCATCTTCATTAATTCATGAGAAGATTGAACATATACACTTATAATTATATTGTGGATTGCTTTGAGTGGGATATGCCCTGATTTTTTTCCATTTTAGGGTTTTCCCCATAAAAAATTATGGTATGTCCTACTGCTATTTTTCTTTTATCTGTATGTGTATTGAATTTTCATTCAACATAGATATTAAATTATCACTCTATCTTTTGGAATCTTCCAACACATAATAATGTTTATGATATAATTAATTATAAAAGGTTGCACAGCCGAGCAACCTCAATTCTAGATAAAATTAGATTTTGATTGGTCTCATCAACTGATTAGATTACATCGATAAAGCACGTACATAATCTACCTTCCATTGATTCTTATATAAAGGATTGTCCTCTATTCCCTGGAGTTCATTTCCTTCTGTCATTAGAATATATTTTAACGTTCATAGTATAGAAAATTTGGTAGGTTGATTGATAAATTCCATGGGAATGGGTTGCCAAAGCATTGAAGAATCAGAGTTATAAATTTGTTTCTTAGTCTTAAGTTCTTGAAATGATTAATTAGAGACAATACAAATGTAAATTACTAAACAAGTCAGACTAAATGTAGGTATAACTAACTCAACTTTCGAAGTTATAACTAATAAATCTCGGAATGATTAAGAACAAGTGTGACACAATAAATAAATTAAGGAATGGGGAACTAAAATTCAATCATGAAAAAATGGCTTGCAGAGTGAAGAATTTAACAAATTTGGCATTTATAGGATTTGATGCTACATCATTCATTTGCTATAAACTTCAAAATGCTAGTTGCATAACAATTTCAACTTGAATAAAATAAAACCTGAAAAATTTTTCTAACCTGATTTAATGGGATGATTTTTTTCTTCTACTTGACATTCTCGGATATCCTTTTCTCAAACTTATAATGTTGTACGTAAGCTCATTCAGAACATATGAGGATTGAGTTCTTAATAGTTTAGGTACAATTAAATAGCTCGTCATCATTCAGACAAATATATAAATATATCTATATGCATGTAAATACATGCAGTTGTGTAGATATGTAGATTTCTATGCATACATACATACATACATATATACATACATATATATATATATATATATATATACATATATATACATACATACATACGTACGTATACATATATATACATACATACATACATACATACTTATATATATACACATGTATACATACATATATATATATAGATATACATATATATACATATGTATACATACATATGTATACATATACATAGATATACATATGTATACATACATATACATATACATATGTATACATCTATATCTATACATATATATACATATGTATATATATACAGATGGATGGATATGTATGTATACAGATGTATGTATATGTATGTATCTAGATGTATGTATATGTATGTATCTAGATGTATGTATATGTATGTATGTAGATGTATGTATATGTATGTATGTAGATGTATGTATATGTATGTATGTATATCTATATAGATATATATATATATGTATATCTATATATATATGTATATCTATATATATATGTATGTATGTATATATATATATATATGTATATATCTATAGATATATATATATATATGTATATATACATACATATATATATAGATGTATATATACATACATATGTATGTATGTATACATACATGTGTATGTATGTATACATACACAAGTATACATACATGTGTGTATGTATGTATGTATACATACATATGTATGTATATCTATATATATATATATATATGTATG